TCCAATTTTTAATTATCATCCTCAATATTAATAAATTAAAATTAATATAGAAAAATGAAAACTTTTAATTTTAAATAATTTTATAATATATATACACATTTATCAAATTTATATTATAATCTCTATAAAGTTCCATTTTATCTATATTATATTATAAAGCCAAAAACTCTTAAAAACTCATTTTTTTATGCATGAAGTACTGTTTATTGATGCATATTACTTAATAATTCAAGATTATAAGTAAATTGTATATAAGTACAACTTATTAAAACTCTATGTTTGAATTCGTGTAACTAATTGCGGATAAACATAATCAAATAGAGGATAAACATCTCATTTTAAAATATAAAAAATCTAAAATATAATTAGGATAATTATTGAGTTCTAACAGAATATTTAATTATTATCTTTATAAAAAAAATATTATTAAACCTAACTTAAGTTAAATTAAATTATAATAAAAAACTTTGAATTAAAAAAAATATACAAACAATAACTTTTAAATAGTTAATTTAATGCTATTGATATATTTTTTTGCAAACTTTATATGATATTTTCAAATTTATATTTTATTTAAAAATAAAAACATTATCGATTTATCAAAACCACATAAAATCGTATTTATATCGACATGGTTAAAAATAAAACGAAACATTGAAATAAAAATATATATCGATGCATTGCACGAATACTTTTCTAATAAACAAAAAATAGAAAATGAGGTTTTATAAAAACCTCGGTCGTAAAATTTGAGGTTTTTATTTGTTGATTTAATATAAAGAATATAAAAAATAAGGTTTTTAGAAATTACACCGCTCTAACTGGTGTAAATCAATTTGGCTTAAATTTCAAATATGGTTTGTTTGAAAGCTATGACCAAATACAATTGTTACAAATTTTTTTTTTTTAAAACTGAATATCCAACCCGATTAATCTCAAGACGACCATCTGTTTTACAGATAGTCCGGAGTCATCACATTTGAACATTCATGGCTACTAGGGGATTTTTATTTCTCCTGGGATTTGAACCTGTGACCTCCTGGTACTTTTGACTTTTTGACCCAAGCTTAAACCAATCAGACACCACACTTATGATTATTGTTACAAATATTTGATCACTCAATCCACAAAACAATTGTCCTTTCCCATACATAACCATTTCACCTCTGCTTGACAACTTAACCTTCTACATCCATCTAAAACCTAATTCCCATTTAAATCCATGTAACTGTGAGACGCTCATTACCAATTTTTTTATTAAGTTATATATGGATAAATTTGTCTGTCTAGATAAAAATTTGTTTCTGTTTACTTTTTTACTGAATTAACAGTTTGAAAGATAGACATGACCGTTTTATCCTTTGGTTCATTAGATAAACTTCAACAAAAAAAAAAACCCTGTCAAATCAGAAACAATTTGCACCATAAACAATCAATGAACAATCTGAACTTGAGAGATGAGGGTTACAATTAGGTTATGGGAAAGACGAACAAAGAACAAAAATGTGAAGGGGGGATTTTGAAATCAAAATGTGGAATGAAATAAAAAATGGGATCTGGAACAGAGAACATATAACATATAATAAAAATTATTAGAAACTTGGAACGAAAAACGAAATGTGGAATAGACAACGATAAACAAAAATTATCAGAAACTTCAAAGGAAATCGAAAATGAAATCAAAATTAAAATCGAAAACGAACCTCAGAAACTTCAAAAGAAATTTGAAACGAAATGGAAAACGAAATTGAGTTCTTCAATTTAGGAAGGAGATGCAATGGTGATTCGAGTTCTTGAATCTCGGAAGGAGATGCAGTTCTTGAATCGAAAACGAACACGAAATCAAAAAACGAAAATGAAAACAAAATTAAAAAACAAAATTGAGTTCTTGAATTTGGGAAGGAGATGCAATTCTTGAATCGAAAAAGAAAACAAAAATCAAAAAGCGAAATCTGATATGGGATCTAGAAGGAGGCGTGAAGGGATAGGGTTGTTTTTTTTTTTTTTTTTGCTGAACCTGGACAAGAGCCATTTCCCATCTGTGCGAATAAACCCCAAATAAACACCACATTTTGGTTGAGCGAATAAGCTCTTTAATCCATTAAGCTCATTAAATAATAAGTAAACACCCCCTAAAGCAAAAGATATATACGCAACATTTAAAGTGGTTGTAGACCAAAACAAACCATATATACACTACTCAAATTAGGGTCTAGAATTGAGATGTATGTAAACTTATCCTTTATTTTCAAGGGTAAAACGACTACTTCTATATATCTATATACTATATTATAAAGCATTTAATAAAAACTTTTAAAAATCTTTTTTTATACACATGATATTGTTTATTAATGCATATTACTTAAAATTCAAAATTACAAGTAAATAATGCGTAAGTACAACTTATTAAAGCTCCATGTTTGAATTTGTGTAACTAAATGCATATAAACATAATCAAATACTTGATAAATATTTCATTTTAAATATAAAAAATCTAAAATATAGTTAGGATAATTACTGTGTTATAACAGAATACTTAATTATTATCTTTATAAAAAAATATATTATTAAATTTAAAAATTACTTCATTATTAAACTTAAATTAAATTATAATAGAAAAACGAATTAAAGAAATTACACAACAAAACAAAAACTTTTAAATAGTTAATTTGATACTAATATCGATATTTAAAAAAAATATCTTCAAATTTATATTTTATTCAAAAATAAAAACATTGTCGTTTTTTTCAAAACCACATAAAACAATATTATAACATCGACATGACACATAATAAAACGAAACATTGAAATCGAGATATATAGTACCCTTCTATTATATATATATATATATATATATATATATATATATATATGGAGGAGTGATCAAATAAAAACTGCTCTCATTTGTGTAAACCGTGCAAACCACCTTCATCCGTCGATTTCATTGTTTAATCTTATGAAATTTTTTTATGAAATTGTTTCATATAATACTTTTTTTGATCAAGTTGTTTCATATATCGTTGTGAAATTGTATCATATAATACTTAATGAAATTGTTTCATGTATTTCTCTAAAATTAATGAAACTGTTTCATATATTTCTCTAAAATTAATGAAACTGTTTCATGTATTTCTCTAAAATTTAAAATAATGAAGATGATAATATCTATGATTAACACCCTCCACAATAAAAATGATTAATCAACCTCTCATAATTACAAAAAAATGAACAAAATGAAAAATTATGATTGGTTGAATGAGGTTTGCACGGTTTGTACAAATTGAGTGGTTTGCATTTGATCGCTCCCCTATATGTATGTATATATATATATATATACACATAAATACATAGACTTTGGGATCATGTGAGACCAAGGGTTTTTCGTGAGACCCGTAAGACCAATTCTCAACATTTGGATTAAATCTACAATCATCAGATGGGAACATTCATAAACATCACGAGACTTCTCAATAATCACAAAATTGCCACTGTACAACTTTAGACCGTTAGATCATTAACTTATAAAGTTATTCAATGAACATAAATTGGTATTACGGGTCTCACGAAAACCCTTTTGGTCCCACATGAACCCAACCCTACATACATATACATATATGCACACACACGCAAAATTAGGGTCTAGAATTCAGATGCATGTAAACTTATCCTCTATTTTAAAGGGTAGAGCGATTGTCTGTAGATACAAGTTTAAAATGGTTATGCAAGGTGGAGCAAAATATAAATGAATTGAGATACAAAGAGGAGTTTACCAAATACTTACCGGGTCACTAACCCAGCTTGCAAGGTACAGATGACCAGTAGAATCTTACCAGACAAAAGGCAATAGCAACAACCGACATTCTTATCCGGTAAGTGAAAAGAGAAGACTCTTACATGGTTAATGTTTACTAAGTAAGAGACGCTTATTAACAATCCATTTTGATGACTGCAAATGTTACCTGATAAGATAAGAAAAAATGATGACAGTGGACGGTAAATGCTAATCCGATAAACGGTTGATAAACGTCCCCAAAGCCCAGGGATACATATCAACTATTTCATAATGTGAACAGAAATTATAATTACATTACATTCAAAATGAGATGAGATTCCATTTATAAAAATGCAGAATGGCGTTTTATATTAAGGAATGTAATCAAGAATGTTAACACGTCTTCAATAGCATAAAACCCAACCATCTCTATTCATTTTAATTATTGTTTATGGGTTGGCTTCTGGTCAAAAGAGAGTTAAGGTGAGAAGCGTAAGAAGGGATCTCCATCTTCAGATGTATATAAGGATGAGATGCACCATGATGTACCGGATAAGTCACCGTATCAAGCGCAACTCATGAATGAGTTTGAGAAATAAAGTTAATCAAGTATCCAAATATCTTCTTATGCTTCTCACCTTAACTGTTCTTTCTCTCACGATCCTTCGCAATTTATATATATAAGCTAAGGATCGTGTGAGAAGTAGAGTTAAAGATGAGAAGCGTAAGAAAAAATCTAGACTATTGATCACTTTTAATCACAAACCCACCTATGAATCGCGTGTAATACAAAGATTGATTCCGTTATATCTCATCCTAACGTACATACAGGGGTGGAGATCCTTCTAACCTTCTTAACTCTCATTCTCATCGGAACTCAACCCCATATATATATATATATATATATATATATATATAATCCCCATTAATAACTTTATGGAGGAGAAATGGAGATCGAAGAAGAAAACGGAAGATACTATAAACAAATGGACATCATAAGCTATAGAAACAAGTGAATGTAGTAGGGGAAGCAACTGCTATTTTTGCAGGTTATGATTATATATAGATCAATATAGGTTAAATACAACTTCTGCAAAAAATGGAAGAAACTTCACCTGTATAACCAATATATGGTAATTTAACTTGAGAAATTTGTTTACCCTCATGATAATCATGGTACATATATACAATAGTTCGGTTTATTATCGATCTTCATTGCGATCATCGATCAAACACGTGGCCGATTTGGAGCAGCAGCGGCAACGGCAAGGAACGAAAGGAATCCGGCGTTAGATGATGGCTCCTGGTCTTCCACAAATACATCTTGTGGAACCCTAAATGCTCCGTGGACACAAACAATCCCTAATCCAAACAACAGAGATGAAATCATCAGCGACACCAATCCCGTTAAGAATACGATAACAATCGTGGAAACGATCAGTATCCCCAGGACTTCACGGTCGGAGTAAGTCCGTTCGAAGAGGAAAACCGGCTGGTCGGCCGGACGGAAGAGGTAGAAATATAGCCACGATGCTATGAGGCTAATGAGGAAGAAGAGAGGGAAGGGGTGGGAGAGGAGAGAGAATAAAAGGACAAGGGCGATGACGGCCATGTAATTAACACGAAAGTATGAAATGTTTTTCCGGACACGAGATGTGGCTTCCGAGATGGTTTCTGGACGGGAAAAGGTGGAGCGATCGATGAGTTCGAACCATGGACGGCGTTGGGCATAGGAGTGTTGGAGGGATGTGGAAATGTTGGAGAGCAAGGGGCGAAGGTCGGGGTCGGTGAGTGGGATTTGTTGGGTTCGTTGGGGCCGCTGTGTGGTGGCGGTGGTGGTGGATTGACGGATGCGTGATGGCCCTGTCGCCGTTGCCTTCGCCGTCGCCATTTGTGAGTGCGGCGGTTGTGGAACGGAGGAGGGGAATCGATTTGTGGATTTGGGAGGGATGATGCAACGCCAATACAGAGAAATGTCGGGGATGCAAACACTTTATAGTTGATTCTGTTATTGATTTCTATTCTTTACCCCTAATCTTTTCTTTTGTTTGCATGAGTAGCCCCTAACTTTCTTCTATTTGCATTATTAGTCCCTAAAGAATATGATCCTACAATTTAGTGAATGGTTTGGTCTAATAATTTGAACCATCGTATTTCAATGGACATCATGTGTCTCAAGTGCGAATAACATCGACAATTGAGAATTTATAGCTATTTGACTGGGTATAAAAAAATTCGAATTAAATTTAACTCGTACAAAAATATATACACTTGTATGTTTTTATAAAAAGGAGAGATAAAGAAGAATAAATAATAACCATAAGGGTGGTGTTTGATTGGTTTAAGCTTGGCTCCAAAGGTCAAAAATACCAAGATGTTTCATGTTCAAATCCAAGGAATTTGACATAATGAAACATCACAGTAAAATATTATTTATTTAAAAAAATATAAATATAAATATATTCATACCTTGATTTATTATTAATCTATACTATATTATAAAGCATTTGACTAAAACTCTTAAAAACTCTTAAACTCTTAAAACTCTTAAACTCTTAAACCCGTTTATCCCTATCCGATTTCATCCCATATCTGAATTCGTGTAACTAACTGCAAATAAACACAATCAAGTACAGGATAAACATCTCATTTTAAATATAAAAAATCTAAAATATAATTAGGATAATCATTAAGTTCTAACAGAACACTTAATTATTATCTTTATAAAATGTTATATTATTAAACCAAAAATAAATTATTTCATTATTAAACTTAAATTAAATTATAATAAAATAGTTGATTTGACATTAACATTGATATATATTTTTTTTTAAATTTT